CTTTCTTTCTTTCTTTCTTTCTTTCTTTCTTTCTTTCTTTCTTTCTTTCTTTCTTTCTTTCTTTCTTTCTTTTCCCAGTCCTGGGGCTTCAACTCAGGCCTTGGGCACTGTCCCTGCACTTCTTTTGCTCAAGGCTAGTATTCTATCACTTGAGCCATGGCATTACTTCCAGCCTTTTCTGTTTATGTAGTACTGAGGAATGGAACCAAGGGCTTCATGCATGCTAGGCAAGCACTCTACCACTGAGCCATATTCCCAGCCCTCCTCTGCATTTCTTTGTTGGCAGTGCAGTGTTGTATATTTAAGATGAAGATGGGCTGGAAAGGTGGCTCAGTGGTAGAGTGCTTGCCTTGCATGCCTGAGGCCCTGGGTTTGATTCCTCAGTACCACATACGCAAAAAGAAAAAAGCCGGAAGTGGCGCTGTGGCTCAAGTGGTAGAGCGCTAGCCTTGAGCTGAAGAGCTCAGGGACAGTGCCCAGGCCCAGAGTTTAGGCCCACCACCGGACCAAAAAAAAAAAAGATGAAGATGACACTTGGAGTAATCACAGAAACAATGTTGAGTGCTGGTGGAAAAGTGGGAAGTCTACTAACCTTTGAAACCTGGCAGGCCTTACTTTCCTAATGGCGAGGAACATCGGGCCCAAGGGCTATATAGACTTGTAAAATTATTTGGTAATGACAGTACAGACACATGCTTTGCATTGGTTTCCTGTAGCCATCTTCTTGAATTGATCATTTTATATGGCCTGTGAATGATGTTATAAATACCCAAATGGCCCCTAGCAGAGAAAAAAAGATTCCCTACCCCAGCTTAGGCAATGGATGAGTTGTTAAAAGAACTATAAGCCTAGCCAGCCCAGGCAGGAAAGTCTGTGAGACTCTTATCCCCAGTTAACACCGAAAACCGGGAGTGGCGCTATGGCTCAAGTGGTAGAGCTCTTGCCTTGAACTGAAGAGCTCAGGGACAGCACCCAGGCCCAGATTTCAAGCCCCATGACTGACAAAAAGAAAAAAAAAGAACTATAAGCCTTCTGAATTCTTTTGTAAATTCAACCAAGTAAACTGAATGGCCATGCCTGTAATCAGGCAAAGATTAGGAGGATCATGGTTTGAGGCCAGGCAGGGTTCAGGGCTCTTCAATTCAAACTGGGTACAGTGGGACTCGTCTGTTTTCTCACCTTTGTGGAACAGTGAGGTCTGGAGAATCATGGTTCCAGGCCAGTCTGGGCCAAACAGTTTTCGAGACTCCCATCTCAACAGGAAACATCTGGATATTATAGTATGTGTTTATCATTCCAGTTATAGAAGGAAGTATAAATAAGATCACAATTCAAGTAGGCTCTTGTAAAATAGTAACACTATCACAAAAATAACCAGAACAGCCAAGCACCAGTGGCTTGCTCCTGTAATCTCAGCTACTCAGGAAGCTGAGATCTGAGGATTGTGGTTTGAAACTAGCTCTGGGAGGAAAGTCCATGAGACTCTTATCTCCATTTAACTACAAAAAGCCAGAAGTGGATCTGTGAGTCGAGTGGTAGAGTGCTAGCCTTTAGTGCAAAAGCTCAGGGACAGTGCCCAGTCCCCAAGTTCAAGCCCCAGGACTGCCCCTTCTCTCCAAAAAATAACCAGAGCAAGGACAAGGCCCTGAGTCCAAGCCCCAGTACTGGGAAAAGGGGAGAATCCCCTGTGGTAAATTCATTATCTATCGTTGCATTCTAGAACTAAGAAAGACCATAGAGACTATGTAACTTACCCTTTCATCTCACAAGTGAGAAAACTTGAGTTTTTGTTTTTTGAGTTTTTTTTTCTGGTCCTGGGGCTTGAATTCAGTACCTGACCCTGAGTTCTTTTAGTTAAGGCTAGTGCTCTACCACTTGAGCCACAGAGCCTCTTCTGGTTTTTTCTTAGTAGTTTATTGGTGATAAAGAATCTCACAGACAGCGGGGCGCTGGTGGCTCACGCCTGTAATCCTAGCTACTCAGGAGGCTGAGATCTGAGGATCGCGGTTCAAAGCCAGCCCGGGCAGGAGAGACCGTGAGACTCCTATCTCCAATAAACCACCAGAAAACCGGAAGTGGCGCTGTAGCTCAAGTGGTAGAGCACTCACCTTGAGCTGAAGAGCTGAGGGACAGTGCCCAGGCCCAGAGTTCAAGCCCCATGACTGACAAAAAAAAAAAGAATCTCACGGACTTTCCTGCCCAGGCTGGCTTAGAATCTCGATCCTCAGATCTCAGCCTCCTGAGTAGCTAGGATAATAGGCATGAGTCACTGGTGCCCAGTTGGAATTTTGAGTTCTTAAGAGAGGGAGTAAGGTAATTTCAGTCTAAGGATTCTATTGCTTAAATAAAAACAGTCACTTCCTTTTACCTAATTAGTCAAAAGAGTGACCTAAAAGGCAGCAAGATGAAGTTGTGGTGCTATTGGCTCATTCCTATAATCCTTGCTACTCAAGGTGAAGTCAGGGCACCTTTTATAATAGTTGCCACCTAATTTACCTATTTGTTTTACATTCCTAGTCATGGAATCATAGAACTTGTAGAGCACTTTAGATCTTATGTAATCTAGGATGTTTCACATCACACAGAGTAAGGAAACAGGTCTGGAAAGGTTAAGTAACTTGCCTGAGGACATGGCATTTGGTCTATGGTGTAGCTAGAACTGTGGCTCAAATTCATGTTACTAATTTTTTTTTCTTTTTCCTTTTCTTTGTTCTTTTCCTGTCGTGTGTGTCTGTGAGGGTTCTGAAGCTTGAATTCAGGGTCTGCCACTATCTTTTGCTCAAGGCTACGCTCTACCACTTGATGTTTTGTTTTTTTTTGTCGGTCGTGGGGCTTGAACTCTGGGCCTGGCAATGTCCCTCAGCTCTCCAGCTCAAGGCTAGCACTCTACCACTTGAGCTACAGCGCCACTTCCGGTTTTCTGGTGGTTTATTGGAAATAGGAGTCTCACGGTCTTTCTTGCCCGGGCTGGCTTTGAACCGCGATCCTCAGATCTCAGCCTCCTGAGTAGCTAGGATTACAGGCGTGAGCCACCAGCGCCCGGCCGCTCTACCACTTGAATCACATCTCTTCTGTCTTTTTTTGGGTGCTTAATTAGAGGTAAGAGTCTCACCAGCTTACCTGCCAGGCTCCTTTGATCCTCAGATCTCAGCCTCCTGAATAGCTAAGATTACAGAGGTGGGCAACCAGCACTCAGCCCCTCCTTTCTTTCCTTGGTTTGATGACCCCAGTTCCATACCTCCTCTCTCTCTCTTCCCTCCCTTTTTTCTACCTTTCCTCCCTCTCTTCCTTTTTGTTTTAGGACAGTATTATCTCTATGTTGCCAAGTCTAGGCTACAACTCCTTGACTAAGGCAGTTTTCCTGTCTCAGCCTCCAAAGTGCTAGAATTGCACATAACCAAGTATACGAATCACAAGCCTAGCCAGGCGCCAGTGGCTCATGCCTATAATCTTAGTTACTGAGAAGGCTGAGATCTGAGGATTGAAGTTCAAAGCCAGCCCGGACAGAAAAGTCCCTGTGATTTTTTTTTTTTTTTTTTTGCCAGTCCTGGGGCTTGAACTCACGGTCTGGGCACTGTCTCTGAGCTCCTTTTGCTCAAGGATAGCACTCTGCTTGAGCCATGAAGCCACTGCTGGCTTTTTCTGTTTATGTGGTACTGAGGAATGGAACCTAGGGCTTCATGCATGCTAGGCAAACACTCTACCACTAAGCCACATTCCTAGCCCCCAGTGAGATTCTTATCTCCAATTAACAACAAAAATAGTGCTGTGACTCAAGTGGTAGAATGCTAGCCTTGAGAACAGAACAAAGAGGCTAATGACAGTGCCCAGGCCCTGAGTTCAAGTTCCAAAACTGACCCAAAAAAAAGAATCTCAATTGGCTTTATTTTCTATTCTCTGTTTTCTTAGGGCTAGAACTCAGGGCCTGGATCATGCTAAGGAAGCATTCTGCCACAGAGCTACAGCCCCAAATGGCTTTATTTTCTATTCTAGAACCAGGCTACATTTCATTCCATAAAATAGAGTTAGAGCCGGGCGCCAGTGGCTCACACCTGTAATCCTAACTATACTGAGATCTGAGGATCACAGTTCAAAGCCAGCCCGACAGGAAAGTCTGTGAGACTCTCATCTCCAATAAACCACTAGTAAACTGGAAGTGGCGCTGTGGCTCAAGTGGTAGAGCACTCACCTTGAGCTGAAGAGTGCAGGGACAGCGCCCAAGCCCAGAGTTCAAGCCCCACGACCAACAAAAAAAAAAGACAAAAAAACAAAAAAAAGCATAGAGTTAGTGTTCCAATGGACTGAGCAGAAGAGATTGTTGTTTGGTTGGTGGTAGTGAGTATTGAACTCAGGGCTTTGAGTTCAATACTTCGCTCGCCTCCAGCTTTGTTGTCTGTCTTGATACTCCCTCCCTACTGAATCCTCCTTTCAACCTTAATTATCCTTACTTGCTGTTCCCCAAACCCATTGAGGCCTAATGCCTCAGTCTAGTTATCTCTTCTTTCTGTCCTATAGGACTCATTTCTGATGATGCTTAATCCTAGAAAGCTTCTCAAAACTGCCCTCCTTTCTTAGCTTTGCAGCTTGAGTCATGCCCATAACCCTCTGGCTGTGACCTTAAACCATCTTCTACAATTCCGAGTCCTGGAATTAAGTTTCTAGAGTCAGCTTAATTTTTTTCCCTAAAATGACTATCACATAATACTATCTTTTTTTTTTTTTTTTCCTTTTTGCCAGTCCTAGGGCTTGAACTCTGGGCAAGGCCACCATCCCTGAGTTTCTTTTGCTCAAGGCTAGCATTCTACCACTTGAATCAAAGTGCCATTTCCTGCTTTTTCTGAGTAGTTTATTGGAGATAAAAGAGTCTCATGGACTTTTCTGCCTGGGCTATCTTCAAACTGTTATCCTCAGAGCTCAGCTTCCTGAGTAGATAGGATTACAGGTGTGAGACACTGGCACACTACATTGTAACTTCTTAATAATTATTTGTTGGGTAAGTAAATGGATCTTGGCGATGAGTTCTTGTTACTATATTATCAATAGGCTTTTCTTGAACAGACCTCTTTTTTTCTGTTCGTTCTTTCTAGGACCTGGGTTTCAGTGATGAGACATGGGGTATGATGTAACACGTTTCCAGGGGGATGTTGATGAAGACCTTATCTGCCCTATTTGCAGTGGAGTCTTGGAGGAGCCAGTCCAGGTGAGTTGGTCTGATGGCAGATTTGGGTGGGACAACAGATGGCTGTAGAATTAATAGAAAATATTTATGAGGGATACAGCCAAAGTGCCAGTGGCTCACATGTATAATCCTAGCTGAGACCTAGAGGATCACAGTTTAAAATCAGCCTGCCTGGGCAGAAAGTTCAAGAGATTCCATCTCCATTTAATCAGTGAAAAGCTGAGTTAGAGGTGTGGTTCACATGTTGGAACACCATCTGTGACCAAGAAACTTGAGCAGAGGGATAAGCCCTGAGTTCAAGTCCCAGTACTGGCAAAAATGAATAAAAATAAACTAAAGAGAATATTCACAAGGAATGGAACACAGGGGGGAAGTTACCGTGTCCTGCTTCTCCATTCTTCCCTGAAGAAGGCTTTAGGAAAGGGGAACAACAGTGGCTACATGGGGAAATGAGCCTTTAGACTCCATCTAGAGGGCTGGGAATGTGGCTTAGTGGTAGAGTGCCTAGCATGCATGAAGCCCTGGGTTCGATTCCTCAGTACCACATAAACAGAAAAAAAAACGGAAATGGCACTGTGGCCCAATTGGTAAAGTGCTAGCCTTGAACAAAAGAAGCTCAGGGACAATGCCTAGGCCCTGAGTTCAAGCCCCAGGACTCGCAAATAACAAAACAAAAAAACATCCATTTAGAAAGAAGATATCAAGATATCTATCTCAGATTCTCTGGTTTAGATTTTGTTGTGAGGCCATTTCTGAGATTTTCTGCTATAAAATGGTCAGTTGCTTATTTCTGCTGGCAGTAGCTTGGTAGCCACCTTTCTCTTACATGAACTCTGACTAAGGTCTGTCTTATCCTTCTGGACTTTCCTGATAAATTCTTTGTGCATTTTGATTGATGTAGTGAGTGGATCAGGTATCCAGAAATCTCCTTGAAAGCCTCTTACCTGACTAGAGTCTGTCTAACACATACTAAGTGAAGAACTGTATTTACTGATCCATTCTCTTCTTAGAAAGACCCAACTTTGGATGCAGCAAACCCTTTCTTCATTTTGATATGAAAGCTGCCAGTGTCAATAGATCATTTCTAGGCAAGTGCTCTGTTACTTAAACTGTGCCCCCATCCCAGTCACTAGGTCATTTCTCTGCAGGCCTTGCCATCCCAAAGTCAGCTGTGTCTTCCTGGGGCAAGTTTGAGGAGAAGCTCAGGATTATCAGGCAAGTAGTGAATAAAATATCTTTTTTTTTTCTTTTTTCCTTAAGCAGTCCTAGGTCTTGGGGCCTAGGCACCATCCCTTAAGGGTGGTGCTCTACTATATGAAATATCACTTTACTTCTGGCTTTTTGGTGGTTAATTAGACATGAGAGTCTCATTGTAGATTTCCCTGTCCAGGCTGGCTTTGAGCTGCAGTCCTCAGATCTCAGCCTCCTGAGTAGCTAGGATTACAAATATGAACCACGAGCTCTCAGCTAAAGTGCAGTTACATTCATGGGCCTTCATCCTTATTCTGTAAATACCAATTCATTTCTGGCACTTGTAGTCAACTGGACATAATCTCATTTCCAAACCAGGAGAATAGTCAAGGTGGTCACATTCCATGCTTCCATTACTCCCAGGGCTCCTCTTGAATCTTTTTTTTTTTTTCCTTGTCGGACTGGCGCTTGGACTTGGGGCCTAGGCACTGTCCCTGAGCTCTTTTGCTCAAGGCTAACACTCTACCACTTGAGCTACATCACCACTTCCAGTTTTCTAGTGGTTAATTGGAGGTGAGAGTCTTACAGATTTTCCTACCTGGGCTGTCTTTGAACCTTGAGCCTCAAATCTTGAATCTTTAAGTTTATTCTTTCTAGTTCCTAACCAGCCAAAGGAGCACAAAGGCTTAGCTAAATAACAGTGGAAGCTGGCCCTGAACCCTTTTTTAGGCCTTTGCAGGCTACCATTAAAGGCATATTAGATGGGTGTGGAGCAAGTTATCCTGGTTTTTTCAAGAGGTCAAGGGGTGTGTCAGGTTTCCTACTCATCCTGGCAGGGCCTTGTTTGTTTTCTGGATCTGTCATTTGAGGCAAAGCACTTGAAAGGTGAATAGCAATCAGTCATAGTTGGAAGCCACTTATCCACTTCCAAAGTTCTCTGAAGTTACCTTCTGAAGAGCATAGTAGGATAATCTACCGTCTTTCTTTCTCTCTTTCTTTTTCTCCCTTCCTTCCTTCCTTTCTCTTCCTTTCTTCCTTTCTTGTCCTAGGGCTTAAACTCTGGGCCTGGGCTTTGTCCCTGAGCTCCTTTTGCTCAAGGCTAGTGCTCTACCACTTGAGCCACAGTGCCACTTCTGGCTTTTTCTGCTTGTATGGTGCTGAGGAATCAAACCCAGGGCCTCATGCATGCAAGGCAAGTACTCTACCACTGAGCCACCTTCCCAGCCCGTTTGTTTAAAATGAACCCAGGTTCTTAAGCAGGTATTCTAAGTTACTATGAGAACTCTCATTTCCATCCTTGCCCTTGTCTACTTTGTTCCCCATGATAGCTATTTATTAGTTTATCTGGTATCCCTGCCACAATTTCTAGGTAGCTGAAAGCAAGTATTAGGGGAAGCGGATGGAGTTGCAGACTTTTTCTTTCTTTTTTTTTTTTT